AATCCTGCATTTCTCTGGCCAGTAGAATAGTTGACATAAATGACATGATTATCTGTTGCATTGCACTGATTTTGGAACTTATATTGTTAAACTACTTTTAGAACTTATATTGCACATGTAAGTGAGCTTGGGGGGGGGGGGGGAGAAATCCTTGAGGACCCATTGCGTTACTGAGATTTCTGTTTAGAGATCTCACCCCACGTTTGAGGCGCTTATTCCCAGGGGTTGAGACCTCTAGTGGCAGGAGGCCGGAGCTTAGTTGATTGATATGCTTGCTGATTATGCTGATGTACCTGTTTAGTGATTACGCCTTATCCATTACCATGTTGTTTGTATTGAGACTTGTTGAGTATGTTGTTTATTTGGTGAGCATGGGGATTGTCCATGCCACATTGATTTAACTATGTCTTACTCTAGTTTTGAGTTGTATAAACTATCAGGATCTGTCCGGTCTACATGTTGTAGTTCCGTGACTAGAGACACAGTTAGTTATTTTATATATTGAGGTAGTTCAGTTAGATGTTTAATTGCAATTTACATGCAGGCAATGTTTTGAAAAAGAATTAAGTAATCAACTTGGTAATTGATAATGACATCATAATTGAAAAGAAAAAGATATTTCGCATTTTTAATTAAGTGTGTCTTAATACGATGACATAATAACAAACTGGATATACACGAGGTGTTACACTCCTTAGTGATCATTCTATTCTCCCTTGCTATCTTTTCAATTTTCGATTCGTAGAGCAAGTCATTTGGATCAACTGTACCTCGCATAAACCAGAATTAAAAAGAAATCAGGAAGGGTAAAAAAATAAAAAATAAAGGTCTAATCTTAAATTCCACAGATACTGCTATTGTTGATTTTTAGTCTCCGGCAACGGCGCCAAAAACTTGTTGCGAACACGGCAAGTATATCGGTCGTACAAGTAATAAAGTGATTAAGTAAAAGTATCGTTCCCACGAGGACTAAATTCAAGCAATAGTTTCGTCGTTTTTATCTAAGTTAGACAATTCAAAAGTAATTTCGCAGGTAATCAATATTTAATTAAAAATCAAATAAAGATGACAGTAAAAGAAATCAATTAAAAAGATTATTTGAAATAAAAATTGAGTTTTAAAATGAAGAATAAAAATACAGTTAGGTTTACTTCACCTCCGATCCCCCTTAATTTGTTTAATTACAATTCAATATTATTCTATCTCAATTATTTCAAATAATTCATCATCTAGAAATTAATTGATTAAATCCTAATGTCTTAGTTCTTTAACCCTTTAACCCAATCAGAATCCTAATGTCTTAGAAATCCCTTTTAGATTAAGCCTTAAGCGCGATGAATTACAAAAGTTTGCAATTCCTACAAGCCTATGTCTAGACCAAGCAAGAACTGGTGTTCTACCCATGTCTAGATCAAGATCCCAATATGTCTATTATGAACCCTAGCCCTCTTTATCCCTATATAATTGGCCAGATCATACAAGAATTTAAACATGCAAATCAAGGTAAATACAAATAATTTGAGACAGTTTATTAATGAAAAGAATTAAACCAAAACAAGGATTCACATCGGATCTATATTCCTAACTACTAAGAAAACTAGCCAGACATAGCTGGCTTAAACAAAATAAAGAAAATAAAAGAAATCATAAAGAAGAAGAAGAAGAATCAATATTGTTCAGTCTCCTTCAAGCTCCTCTCTCTCTAAAATCTCCAACTCTGTTATAAAAAAAAAATCTCCAACTCAGGACTCTGGTGTTCTCCTCCTTCCTCTGAATATGCTTGCCTCTGTCCAATTCCTTTGTGTTTCCAAGAGATGCCTTTTTATAGGGGTAAAACCATATCTTTTAATTTTCCATAATATCTTTAATGAAATTTTCACTAGAATCTCTAATCATATATTTGATCCAATCCTTCAAATCTTCCCCTTTTTATTTAATGAAAAGTTTTCCTTAAAAATATTCAAACGAAGATTTGATAAGATCTTGAATGATTCAGAAATTCAAAGCAACTTTACTTGATCTCTCCAATTTATCTTTTTTATTGAGCTGAAATTTACTATAAAATATAAGAAATCTTATGAGAATATTATTGAAAATAAAATAACAATTTAATTATAATTCTCATAACTTTTAATTACTTTTAATCAATTTCATGCTCATATTAATCCTTAATATATAATAAATTGAAGACTGATCAATTACTTAATTAGTTGGATTATAGTCGAGCATAAGCGGTGATAACATGTATATGTTTTTCCTACCAATTGACGGCTTTTAAGCTGAAACATCACATTATCTCCACTGCTTGATGATAGTCGAGTTGTTTTTTAGTTATAAATCATTGGAGTTCTTCTCTGCTTTTTGAAGGATGAGAGATTGAAGTAACGGCACTAAGCAATAATGCCAACCTCTTTTTCTTATTTTATCTATTACCTTTCCGTCGGCATCCTCTATTAATAAAACTTCCAGTTGTAACTTTTGTTAACTCATATCGTTATAACTTTTCACTTGATTACAATGCTCAATCCTACAAGTAATTAATTATACAAGAACTAAGGTAATTAATTTAATTATCAAAAAATAAAAAACAATTACCTGTAGGCCTATTAAATATTTTCTCAATTGTTTAAAGAAAAGTCTTAAAGAATACATAAGTTTTTATTCTATTAAATGTTCTTTTAATATAACATTTTTACTTCATAATTGATGTTTTAAAGATACTTGTTACTTAATGAAAAAGTAGAGTATTATAGTCATAAAAAAAAAAAAGTTATGCAATATGTCCCATTCACTGGCATTTTTCTTTTGTCGACCAAATCCAACCGTATCTTGGTCCGGTCATACCAACCAAAATGTCTTTCCTGTTCTATAGCTTAGTTTGTATAAACTATGGCATGAAATAAATAAACAAACATATATATATTAAAAGTGCACTTTGACATCACACCCACCATGAAATTTGCCATCTTACGCGTCTATTTATAGTAATACACGATTGCATAAAGACAAATTACCTAGACCCACAAGAGTTTCCGCATTAAAAAAACAAGGTGCACACAGTGGACAGAAAAAACATGGTGTAAACTACTAAACTTGGATAGGTCAATGAGAACAAACTAACAGAGGAATTCATGTGAATGATACATAGTGTGCCTCTTATCATCACACTTATACTACGGATAAACCTCAATGAGAGACTTCAAACCCAGAAGTTGAGTTATTTTGTAGTTACTGAAACCAGCAGAGAAAAAAAGCTTGGCCCATTCTTTCTCATTTCTCTCTTTTCCAGTCACCAAGGCCATCATTTCCATATCAAAGAAGAGCTTCGTGTCAACAAATTCACCATCTATCTCTTCATTCCCCATCACGACCTCAATGATTATCACCTTCCCTTCTTTACCTTTGCTAGTGAGTGCCTCCTTGCATTTCTTCAGTATTTTCACACATTCCTCATCGTTCCAGTCATGCAATATCCACTGCATGTCACTCAAATTAATTATGAATGTGCAACGAAATTAAATATTATTTTGCTATATTTTAAATTGTGTTAGCTAGAGAGATATAATATAAAATTATAGAAGATTTATTACTTAATAACTTAACCTTTTAGGTGAGATAATTATATATCATGGTATCAGATCCAAGATAATCATAGATTAAGTGAGATCATTGTTTATCAAATGGCAAAACCTTGCAAGAAATTGTTATATTTCTTAATTGTGTTAGAGAGATATAATATAAAATTATTGAAGACTCATCACTTAATAACTTAACCTTTTAGGTGAGATGATTAATTATTTATCAAGGTATCAAATCCAAAAAAACCATGGATTAGGTGAGATGATTGTTTATCAAATAGTAAAACCCTCAAGAAATAAAAAAATGTGTGTAACCTAGATCTTTTTATTGGAATAAGCAGAGATCAATATGTCAAGTTATGAAGCAACTTAGACCCTAATTATGATAACAAGTTCATTCTCAATAATGATGCATCTTTGCTAAAGGTTTGACAATTTAGAAGAAGATAATAAACTATGGGATATGATCTGTTTACAAATTTTTTTTGCAAATTGCACTAAGTACGACCGGTCGTACAATGCATGATTAAAGTAGGACCGGTCGTACTTAGCGTAGTTTGTAAGAGTTTGTAAACAAAAAAATTTGTAAATATAACCTGTCTCATAAACTATATATGTGAAAATACTTTACCTTTAACAAAATGGAATCGGCGGAGGGAATTGACTCAAACATGTCACCTCCAACATATTTTAGATTGTCACTTCCTTGCAAGCCATTAACAACATGTGGGAGATCAAATACAATACACTCCAATTGTGGGAATGACTTGGCAATGGCCTTTGCCATAGTCCCTGTGCCTCCCCCAACATCAACTAATGACTCCAATCCCATGAACACTCCCTCGCACTTCTCAACGACCACATTGGAAATCAATCGAGCATCACTAGCCATGGCTTCATTGAGAACGTGATTGAATTTGGGCTCATGGCAAGCATAATCCCAAAGTGTCATCCCATTTTCCGTGTAAAATGGAGTAGGATCATCATTTTTAAACCAAGTAGAAAATTTCTGCCATGGATTTATCATAGTTGGGTCTAGTACGAAATGCAAAAAAGATGTCAAGCTCAAGGGTTGATCATTAAGTAGTAATCTAGATGCATCGGTTAGCCCATACCTCACTTCTAGCTCATTTTCAGTAACATTTTGCTGAAAGAAGAAACCAGAATGGGTCAAAATTCGCATCAAGCGATAGATGCTTCCAGTTTTGGAAGGGTGGATTGGTAGTGAAGCAATGAGTAGTGAGAGCGGCATGGGTTGGCCATACTTGTGTATGACATCTGGAATGCATAACTCAATTGCACATTTAAGGGACATGGAGTTTATGAAGCTAAAAATGTGATTGAATATATGGGTTTGAGCTTGAAGTAGTTTGGCAGCATGCTCCTCAATGGGGGATTCCATAGCTTTGATGCCTGAACTACTTTGCTAGATTTGTAGTATGGAAACTCACATTACTTGGGTCCATTTATAGGGGGAGCAGGTGTTCTGCCAATATCTTGAAATATGGACATAACTTAAAATTACTGCAGATAAGAGCAACACTATAATATGCCAATATATATTTTATTCAAGTTGCTGAAAACTATATAATATTTTTCACGTTTGTTTTATTTATAATGACACTAGTATGTTACCCGAGGAATCCACGGCAAAATTAAAAGAGTTTAATATTATAAACTTTTAATTTTTTTTAAATACTTAAATACAAAAATTGTCCTATGATTGGCCGTTGAAAAAAAAAAATACACTATCAGAATAATATTTTTGCAGTTACTGTAGATAATGTAGCCGCATTTATTCTCAAAACGATGTCGTTTTGAGTTTGAAAAATTAAATAATTGAAATTATAAAGACTATAATAACCCTGAAATAAATTAAAATTATAAAAATACCATGATTTCTGATACAAAATGATGTCGTATTAGGTTTACTATAGATAACTTATCTGCAGTGCAGTGCAGAAAAAGCGAACCTTATAATTATATATACGAAATTGTATAGCATATCATCTTCTTATTGAGATTAGCTTTATTTGTTATACAACTAGTCATATGATATATACGGAAATACACCTTACATGATTTGTTACGGGCCGGTGATATGTTACTGTTGTGATTTTCTCTTTTACCTAAAAGCCTTTTGAGCTTTAGTATACCACAAGAGTTCAAAAAGTTTAGACTTATATTTTTTATTGGGTTATGTTTATTTCATTTTAGATGATTATTAGCTATAAATTATGCTTATTTTAATGGCTTTATTTTTACAATATTTGAGTTAAAGACTAGTTATAAGTGCAAAGTAATGGGCCAAATGAGTACCAATCAGCCCAATAAGGTAAAAGAGAGAGAAAGAGATAATTTGATGATTTACTATCCTCTTTTATTATTTTTACTGTGCAGTTAGAGAACCATATGAGTTACTTTTTGGAAGTGAAGAAAAAAAGAGAGCTGGACCGTTGGATGAGGACAAGCATGGAAGAACATCAATGAAACTTTGGATCAATGGTTATTTTTAGTTTTAAATGGGAGTCTTAGATACAGAGATATAGACTAAGCACTCTCCTCTAAAGTTTTAGTTTTCAATTCCAGAATTTCTTTTCTGTTCTTTACTTTTTGTTAAGTTCGAGTCTTTGTTCTTCAAATTCTCACATCAAGAGCAAGCGTGAAACTTCTTTCTTGGAGGGATCCAAGACTCAGCTACATGAAAGCTTTGGTTCTTCATTTTCCTTTTCTAAGCTTTCCATTTTCTGAAAATTGTAATTCTGGAATACTGGTATGTATTTCTACTTGAGATCTATTTTCTTTATATTTTGTAATGTATGTTAATTTCAGTTCAGATATTGCAATTTTCATTTGTTAATATGAATTTCTAAGTTTCTTTTTCTGGGATTCACGATGATTGGGTGATTTTTTATTTTTCTGAATACTGTGATGGTTTGCTTTAGTTTCATTTGATTAGCAAGATTTTGATTTTAAGTTCAAGAACACCATGGGAATGGATCTTGAATATATTTAGCATAGTTATGATTGGGAAATCAGGTTATGTTCCTTGTTAATTGAACCCTTGAGGTTAAGGATAACCCAAGGAGGTCTTTGATATAATTTTTGAAGATTTAGAAGACTTTGGGAAAAGATTAAAACTGGAACTGGAAAGTTTCAGCTAAAATAGCCATAGTAGTTCAAATTCTGATATTAAAGTGCCATAGCAGTTATAAAATGCAGGAATGTGAATTTTTTCTTCATCCATGATTCAAGAATTCTAGTATCGTATAATTGTTACATTTGTGATTAGATATTCCTCTGTTATTTTTGTTTAATACAATTTTGATAAAAACTTTGATTCAAAGATTGAATACTTAAATTTCAAGAATTTAAGAATAGAATAAAAAGGAAATTAATTCAACTTGTTCCCTGAGAACGATAACTCTTTCTTTTGAAAATTTATTACCCAACAATGATGTAAATAACTTTCCTACACAAAAAAAGAGGTTGGATTCTACCACTTTTTTTCTCTCTTCTCTTACATATGCATTCCACTTATACTTTTATTTCTACAACATAAGATAACATTTTTTCTACAACATAAGAAAAATATATCCCTTTCTTATTATTCATATATATAATGGGTTCATGTTTTCTTGCATGAAAACATGAGAGAACAAAAATAGAGATAAATAAGATGTGGATCTTACATTATATATTAAAAAAGAAAAAAAAATTAATTAGTACAAAAAATAAATTTATGCGAAAAAATTATTTGCTCTCCTGCAACACAGGAGAGCATGATTTCCGATATATAATTCACGTTAGTCCTGAGCCATCATACTCAGTTAAAAAAATGAAAACCTATGTACACACGGACATCTACTTCCCCTATTAGAGTCATATATATTTTTCACGCACTACCGCAAAAACGGAGCCTAAAGGCGGTTTGTTTTAATCTTGGAGATGGTTTACACCGCCTCAATAAATTTCTTTGACTTTTTCGAAACCAACGTTGGAGTTGGCACCAGTAATTAATTCAAGGTCGGTTTTGTGAAATCGACCGAATAACCACCTTAGACTACAACCGATGCTAAATCTGTACAACCGCGATATTTGCTATTATTTATATTAAAATTATTCAGAAGATTTAATAAATTTATAATACTTACTGCGTTCGGTTTTAAACGGTCATGAATTTAGAGTTTTCAGCATGCATTTTTGGTATGAATATTTGTTACTATTTTATATTGTAATAATTTATATTATAACACAAAACATATTTTTGATTGATTAAATATTTGAACCTGTGAAACTAATATCATGGAATTTATACAGAATTAAATGTAATCCAAAATAAACTAGCTAGGGAAAAGTGTTTGTCATTTTAAATGACATAACATTCTGTCCTTTTAAGAGAGACAGACACAGAAAAAAATTATTTAAATTTTAAATTAAAAAAAACTACCCACTTTCTCTCACTCATGATTTTTATTTTTCTGTGTCTATCTCTCTCTTTCCTAAAATGACATAGTTTATATCATTTAAAATGACAAACACTAAACTCTAAAAATTAATAGATCAAAATACATTATAAAACAAACTTGCTTTACAAATTAAACATAAATGGAATCCAAGTATTAATAAAATTACAAATGTTTAAACCTCAGTAGTCTTACAAATTTAAGATAAATGCAATCAAAGTACCAATAAAACTACACAAGTTTAAACCTAAGTAAGCTAGCTATCTGGCAAGAGAACTATGCAAGCTGGGTTCTGGAGGAGCAACTTGACCAAATTGCATGTATTTTGCCAAATTGCATCACAGATCCTTGTGCTGTTGGAGCAGGAACTGTACTAGAAGAAGACACCATTGTGTATTGAAGAGAAGAAGTAAAAGCGAGGATGGGATCTAGATTAGCCGTCATTGCAGGGATAGTTGAAACAGCTGATTTTGCATCCTAAAAGCAAGCACAGTCAAAACAAAGATAATATATAAAATGTTAATGATATGTAAATCACAGGTCTCATATACTCCCTTTAAACTTATTTCTACCTCAAAATCTGACATGACATCTGTGCTTTTTTTTGACCTAATTACTATTATTTGATTATTCCAAACGAAAAGTTAGTCCAAACGAAAATAAATACTGCCGACAAAAAATAGAAAGAAAATTAAGATAAAAAATAAAATACAAAAGAAATGAAACAAGAAATGACAATTATGAGTTTTCAATATATTTGACTTTATCTTTATTTTATTTTATTTTATTTTTTGTCCTTGATCTATTTTATTTTTTTTATTTAGATATATTTGGTCTTTTTCTATTTGTATTTTTTTCTTTTACTTTTTGATCTATTTTATTCTGACTTTTTTTTCTTCTTTAGCCTTGTGCTACCCCATTTGCTTAAGACTTTCATAAAAAAGAGAGAGAATAAAATAGATATTTAAAAAAGACCAAACATATCTAAATAAAAAGAATAAAATACATCAAGGACATATTGAAAATTCATAGCTGCGATTTCTTTTTGTTCTATTTTTTGTTTTTTTATCTTGATTATATCTTCTATTGTTTTGTATTCAATAATTTTTTTTTTCATTTAGACTTTTTTTATTATTTTAATTTTACTTTTTTTTATTGTTTTGATTTTTAACATAATTGGTCTTATTTTTTCTTCTATATTTTTATTTAGACACATTTTGATTTTTTTCTTTTAATTTTTTATTAAATATTCTAAGTTTCATAACTTTTGATTTTCTTTTCCTTTTTCTAAGAAGGATAAAATAGGTATATTTAGTCAAGATACTAACAGTGTTAAAATGGGTGGATGAAAAAAAATTGCACGAGTTTAAGTGATTTAAATATATATATATATATATATATATATATGAAATAAATTTCTTCGGTTACTACAGATAAGTTATCTGTATTTACTCTCAAAACGATTTCGTTTTGGGATTGAAATATTAAAAAATTATAATTATAAAGACTATAATAACCCTAAAATAAATTAAAATTATAAAAATACCATGATTTCCGCCCCAAAACGACGTCGTATTGGCTTACTGCTTATCTGCAGTAACTGCAGAAAAACCGAACCCTATATATATATAGAAAAAATATTTCTACAGCCACTTTAAATAAGGTTATCTACAGCTACCCAAAAACTACGTCGTTTTGAATAATTAAGGATGTTTCTGTAATTTCAGGTGAGTTAATGAAGGGTGTTTCGATAAAATGCATATGATAAAAAATAAACAAAATTACAGAAATACCCTTCATTAATTCGACAAAAATTACATAAACACCCTTCATTAATCAAAACGACGTAGTTTTGGGGTAGCTGTTGATAACCTTATCTAAAGTGGCTGTAGAAATATTTACCCCTATATATATATATATATATATATATATATATATATATATATATATATATATATATATATATATG